ATCAATCGTTCTAAATACAGAACACATTTTCCTACATCTAATATAGGTAGTCATTATCGTGGTAAGTACGACTCGGTCGGTATTCGCCGGTATATTATACGAATGTCTAGAGCAGGGGTTTCCAAAGTGTGGTACGTCACAGGCCACATGGCGGTACGGAAAATAAGTCTCACTGTTGTTTATTCGTATGTTTGTGGCGGATCTAATGTTATTTTATATTTTGTGTATACATTTTTATTGTTATGTACTCGTTAATATTAATTTCGTGCCCGAATTGTAATATCGTATATGAGCGCGTCAATAAGTCGCACAACTATCGTCGACACAAGCGCATGCAGATGACTTATTGTTGAAAAAACTTAAATAATTTATGTAAATTTGTATCGTCTGGGCGTATTTTCGACGAAGATTTATCGTCGAACGCCGAACAGTAGTTGTATTTTTAGTCGTGCCTGTAAATAGCAATAAACACGAGACGCAGTGCAAAAGGAGAACAAAGTTTGGAAACCTCTGCATCGGGTCTGAAGAGTCGACGTGGTCGGACTGCAATGCGTTAGCGTGTGTAGGAAAACAAACTGGAAAATAAAATCACTGTGAGCCGTGCCTGCTGACGACATTTGTACATTTCGTTCGGTGGAATGAAATGATACTATTACGGCGAGCACATATCATACGATAAACACTTAATATTCATATTCATATTTGTTTTTTTTTTATCATTTTATGCACACTATTCGCATAGTTTGCCGAAGAGTCGAGCGCATGAAAAACTCGTTTGCGTATTATTTTACCGTCCGACGTGTTCAAGGAAAACGAGTAGAATTCGGTTTGTTGTGTTCCTGGGTATCCGTTTTGTATTTACATCAGAACTATTCACATTTACTGCAGTTAGCTCGTACCTATGTAGTACCGAGAGACGATTTGCACCTGAAACACAATCACTGTGCTTCGATATTATTTCGAGTTTTTATTAAAAAGGTTAGTACACTTATACGTATTATTATTCAGTTGTGTATACACATTTGACTTTAAAATGTAACGCGATAATATATCATTATCATCGAGTCTTATCGTTTTGTTAGTAATATTCTACTGTATTTTTTACTAAAACCTAATTTTAAGTATAGTAATTTAAAAAACCGTTTTCACATACGAAGTAACAAATTCTTTTTGTATTCTTTTTATCAATTATTTCACCAACACTTTTTTTCTTTTCATTAACGCTTGTGTTTTATAATATACTTAATAGTATCATAGATTTTGAGAGTGTTCATAAATTATACATCGAATGATTAAAATATGAAACCAATTTATTTCTTCTAATTTAATTGGCCGATGTAATTTTATTGACACCCATGATAAAAATAATCATCATAATTCGAAGTATTTAAAATATACCTAGACACAATTTGATAATACCATGCAAAATAAAACGTATTTCATTAGACTTACTGTGAACGATTAGACCAAAGAAGTTAATAACATATGTACTTACTCTACCTATTAATTGATATTCATAATTATGGGGCCTGTGTTTAAATTATGTTTATTTTTAATTCTATATAATTTTAATGATTTCGTAATTTTAATTTACCTATTTATAATATTAGTATAGTGATTTGGATAGTTAAATTTATTGACTGCAATTAATAAATTATTTTCATTATCCATCTTTATTGTGTATATAACACAGCTAAAACACAAAGTTAAAAAAATTGCTCAATTTTATTTGATCGATAGTTAAATGGTGTAGTTAAATTCGATGTTTCGGTTATAATTATACTGGAAAATGATCAAACATGTTGTGCAGACATACCTATATGGTATTTTTGATACTTAAATTATTGTTATCCTCGTGTCAGTATGCTCAGGTAGGTAAACTTAAAAAAAAAAACAAGGCACTGAAATGTTTGGAGGGTGCGTTGTTTAAAACTTTAGACTATTGGCTGAACTTTGCCCTTGCCGGTAATTTAATTTACAAAATTATATTTTTAAAAAGTTTAAGTAGTCGAACAATAAGTTAAAGTACTCAAACAGCAATAAAAAAAGCATTACAAACGACCATAATGCGGAAGAAAATAATGTACGACGTGAGCGTTTGTGGAAGGTTGACACAACGATTTAATACATTTAATAGTTACACTGTCTTACAGAGTTAATTGACATTATATAACAAACCAGCTACACTAAACATTTTTTTTTTGTTTTATTTGGTAGACTGCATTCAATTACAAAGGTCATTGGCTCGCGCTAACTTATGATATAAAAAAAATCAAAACAATATAGATTCAAATAAGTCGTGTCCTTGAAAATATAAACAAATATTAGAAAAAACGTATAACTTTTGATTTAGATTTTATCTTTTAAAAATAAGTGCAGATTGTTCCAGTGTTCTCGTCATTGAGAGTCTGATGTAATGAAGGGGGCTCTTTAGGATTTGTCGGACTTCGGCTTATTTCATTAATTTTTGTGTAAGTACTCAATTGATTTAATATTTTTATTTCTCTATAATATAACACACGAAGTTCCAATTCAATTTGACTTATATTTGATAATGTGAGAATTATAATATTTATAAAATTAGTATTTTTGGGGAGCTTATATTGCTTGTGTGATATTTTTATAACTTAGGTTGTTATTTCTTTACATTTTCCGTCAGTCAATAGCTTTTGAGATAGTAAAAAGTCCTGGGACAGAGTGAATTGATATTATTTATTTTATTTTATTTTTCAGAATAACGCCAACCGGCTTTTACAAAATAGTGAAATATAGATAACATAATATGATAATATACAATTTAACTAAGTAACAATATAAGTAAAATAGTAAATGACGAGGTAAATAAACAATACCAATTAAATGACGAAGATGAAACTATACTGGTAGACCTAAGAATTCTGTGCTTGTGGTGGTTGTGGATGATGGAAGTGGAATCAGTAAGAGTATAAAAACTAGTATGATAACGGGCATTGTGAGAGGAAACTTTAAATATAACTTGAGATAAAAGATCAAGTTCATCTATAGTTGGATTGTTGAGAAAAGTGTAGAAGTTAACTGAGAATCTATGTAATTACGGTGTGAAGACAAAGAAGGTATATTTTATTAGATAACTTACCTGTTACACGAATAAATTATTTGTATTTGTATTTGTATTAAATTCGATTTAATATTATGTTTTCTCATATAATCATGTTTTCTCGTGTCACATTATTATCACCTCGACGGACCACGAAATATTCAAAACCCAAATGTTCAATTTCATCAAAACGTGTTACCTTAATTAAACAATGTCAGGCACAAGCTTTATGGAATTAGCGTTGTCGGAGAGCTTATAATATTATATTGGTCATACAATTATTATTAAGTGGTCTTTTATTTTTTAATTTATGTCGACCAACCACTGCCGATGAGGTACCCAGCTAAACAGTTCCGTGGCACTACTTCTAAATTATATAATATTAAATTGAACACTGATTGTTTTCAAGAAGTTTGGTTTTAGAAAAAAATGCAGTGGTTTCCGATACTGAAGTTCGCTTTTCTTCACCCTTTAATCATTTATAATGATAATCTCAAGTCAAGATTTTTGTTTTGTTTTTTTTTTAACGATAATTTACAGCTGAATCTTACGGGGCTTAAAATTAAGAAGCGGTTTTTTCTCATTCTTTTATAGAGCTGACCGTCGACAATATATTTTTTACCAAACATTTTCTCGGGTCTTAAAGAGGTATTTATAGCTCTTGCCGTTTTCAATTTAACTCGATATTCTAAATATCCATTAATTACAACGTGGAAGTACTTGGCATAATGTATTGTAAATATTTATAATATAGGTACATGTTATATCATACAGTTGAAAAACATAAAAAAAAAATGATTAACAACTTATTTTATTCTTTTACGATACGGTTGTATACTATGCTACACTACATTGCGGAAGTCTATGGTCGATACGAATCGAAATATTGTTTTATTAAATCCTGTTTTTCTACGTCCTCACATGCTCGGATTTATTAGATTATTTATGCGAAGAAACAAAAAGGACTGTACAGCTATGTTACCCAACCGGTTATTAAACTGTAGTTTCGTTGATCCAGCCTTGGACGGAAATTCACGGGCGACGTTTAAAAGGAAGTTCAAAATTCAATGTCATAAAAACGTAAATATCAATACATTTACCGACGAGTATGATAATAATATTATGTCATAGACGAGTGATCATAATTTTTTTTGGCAGTAAATAGACGTTAAGTTTTTCTTCTGATTAGGTTTCCTTATAGCTTTGTCGTGGTTTTTATTTTCGACCATCTATTACATAACTATGAAGTCGATCTTTCCTAACACACATAGTAGGTAGATTTACAATCGGAATTTATCTTTAAAATATCGGAAAAAAAAATCTTACGATACTGTTTATTGTTAACCATTATTGATTGGATATTTGGATTCTTCGCCGATCTAGTTACTAAATACTGTATTTTATAAGACGAATAGATTTTTTATACTATTTCCATAAACATTACGTTTTAGTATGTGTTCGTATACTTACAGTTTTCCACAGAGGAAATAATTTCACTAGAATGCCAATTAGAATTGTATTTTGTAAATTAATTTATATTAACTCTACAGTTCTAGATATTTTACAATAAGTATTTAATTACGAAATATATTGACATATTCCAACGACTTCAATCTCCCTAGTTGGAATTTCATTGATATGACGTGATAATAATAATATAATGGATTTATTATTGCTTTATAGTTTATATTATAATAATAATTGAACACCGGCTGTCTGTAGTATATTTTATCCTGCCTGTACTTATTTTACTCACACGTGTTTAATTATTTATTTGTACGTTAAATATTTATTGATTCAAACAGTTTTAAGCAATGCCAAATGATCTTGCATAATACTTGTTTTTGTGCTATATTTTAAAATTTAACAACTGTTCATAATTATTTCAAATTGCCTAATTAAATGCTTTAGAGAATAGAGATACCGTTTCATAAAATTGCCGGCTAAATTGCGGTACAAATTATCATAGTTTCATCTAAAAACTAGAACATATATATATTAGAATATTTAATGCCATGCAATTATCTTAATTACTAGGGCTAGGATTTTTATGCAATTGCAAACATTAAAGTATGCAAAATTATGCAAAAATCAATAAATATTTTAAATCCTATCAACGATTAAATCGTTTTCTTACAAAAAAAAAAAATAAAACCTAGTAAATACAACACAAAGGTATTTTAACATTAGTTTTGCAAACTTTATTAGATAATATTTATCAACAAATTATCACAATTGAGCACCTTCATTTTGAACCATGGGAATTATTGGAAATCGATAGTTGAATGTAAATATTAAACTTAAAATGCAATAATTTAAAATTGCATCTAAACGACAAACACGGGGATTACTGATTATCAAATTAACTAATGAGCAATCACATAGCTATACAAGTCTGTATTAAGATAAAATCGTATTATCTACTCGATATAACCGACTATATTATGTCAGTTATAAATACAATTTTATTTACGACACGTCGTAAAAACGAACTCGACTCATAAAACAATTACAGATCTTCATTGAATTAACTTGGTTTTTTGTAAATAAATTTTTAAAAACGTGTAAATATTTGGATGAAAACAATTGTTTTATTCGATTCATTATGAACAAAATCGAGAACACAATACTGACAACCAATGTATTTATTTCTAGTTAAACGAAAAAAATATGTAAACGCATAGAAATCCTAGCCGTAGTAATTACTATTAATTTGTTAGACCTGATTTTCGAATAATTTGCCACTTGAAATATGTACATAATATCTTGTTTAAATCCAATTTTGACTCTTGAACATTGTAGAAAAAAATCACACTCACAAATTAATGAATTAAAACACATTTTTTAAAAACATTTTGAATCGTACAATTTTCAAATTTTGTACAAAATATGTTCCGCTAATAGTATTATATAATAAATACATTATATTCTAATGCCGTATTAGTATTATAGTTGTCGCTTTGTTTGCACACTTAAGGATATATCGTCAGGTCTTGAGCTCGTGCAGGCTGTCGATTTCGCCTGCAGACCATATCAATATTAGTTTGTCGGCCGTTGGTGTGCGTGAAACCGTATGTGAATCTCGACACCGCATAATACTATAATATAGTTGGAAGTTTTCAAACATGATTATATTGTAAGTTATGTGATTTACAAAACACGATTTTCTCATGCGTGCATTTCGCGGCACGCACGTGTGTAATACGCACACAATAGTTTTCAATAAAAAAAAAGTTACGTTTTATCATTGACACCAGTGGTATCACGCCGCGTCGAATACATTTGCAACATTTGTGAAAAAGTCGTATTAGGCTTAATGGTTACGTCAGTATTTGGCATGGTTATAATTATTGTCTGAGGTACATAATATTATATACACGGGCTGTCGGTTACGAGTGAAGGATGTGAAAAGATTATTTTGACATTTTCCGCCGACGTAAACGCGCAATAGTGTTGCAGCGATTCGGGCAATTGTCACACGATCCCACCGATATTCCTACGTCGTATCATTATAATATAAGGTGACAGTCCAGCGCAGTTATTCTATTGTTCGACTCACTGTCGTATGGCAAGTAGGCATAGGCACTTACTCTACACTGGCAAACATTAACACAAGACACGTCAAAAACGTCAACTCGTAATATTTATCGATTTGTAAGTGCGCACGGTCTTCATCACTGCAGTCGTCGACTTCGCCAGTAGTCAAGATGTAGGCAGTACGAAAGTAAAACTAAACGGAAATACATTCATATGCAACAGGTATATAGTAGTTTTTCGCAATCGTTTCCATTGGTCGTCCGCCGACCGACGAACGATGGCATTTAAATGTTTCAAGAACACATATTTGGGCGTCAGAGTGTTCATCTGCAGAGTTATCAATAATTGTAGAAATCAGTCGACAACGGTTTGTCGTAATTTATTCGAATTTGCTAACAATAGCCGTATGTGCTATGACGAATACAGCTAATATTAGGACTGTAAGATGTTTGAAGAAAAAAACTAGTTTATATAAATAACCGTGCTGAGATGTTTAAATGACGAAACATCGATTTGTTCTATGAACGAGGCGGTTGTGACTATAATTTTGTTGTTCGTTTTTCACTATAATCCAATGTCCGTTTTACGATATATTACCATAAGATATTCATAATATTATACAACCTAACCTTTCCGATGACGTTTGAGAGGATGTCATCGCAATATTTGCTGTCGCTCTTAGATCTACGCGCAAAAACGTTTTTTATTTTATATTATTTACTTTTTATTTCATAATATTAAAATAATAAAAATAATAATGTAAGCATGCATATGGTAGTTACAGGGCTTGAAGCTCGTCGGGGGCCCAAAACACATTCATATGTGAAGTCGTTTTTATACATTTTGAGTAATCTTAGAATAAAACCACTCTTTAGAAACATTTTTGAGGGTTTCTTTATAATTTATTACAAATTAAGTTTGAATACGACTTTCAAAAAAAAAAAATTTTAAATTATTTCGAGAAAATATATTTCAGACAAATTGATATGTCACAACCTCAAAAATATTGTACACTGTGTTATATGCAATGGATGATTTCAATCTAATGTTCCCTAAAAACATTAAAAAAAAAATGATTTTTCGCGAATGCGTGTTTTGTCTATATGGACACGTATTTGCCAGATAGAGAAAATAAACAGTACTCTGACATCGTCTTAAAATTACATGGTTGTTTTAGTTTTTAAGTCATAGCATTCAAACACTTTTATTTAAGTGCCAGTTTATTAAATACGATTTTCGTTTTTTTTTTCAGTCGTGTACAAACTTTGAATAAAAATGCCGGAATACCACGTTATACCGAACGAAGAAGAAGTGAAAAGATTAAAGAAAGAGTATGGCTTGACAAAAGATCAAATCACTAAAGACGTAGCCACGGTCAGGAGTTGGATGCTAACACAACCTCATTTACCGAAGCTTCCAGAATCAAAAAATGGTAACAATCGTTTTGTATATTATAACGGCTATTAATTAGACGATTTTTTTTTCACATTTTTAAAAAATAATTTAAATAAAAAAAATATTTATTCGACGATTCAGATGAAATAGATTTTTGGATCGAAGGATTTTTACGACTGACGAAAAATAATCTGGAAAAAACAAAACTAGGGGTGGAGAGTCATTTTCGCCTGAAAACGTTGTTTCCACAGGTCTACGATGTGTGCGATTTACCGAATTATGTGGAAAGTGATTTGTTTGAATATTTGTAAGTAAGCCTTGTGAACCACACAGTATTAGTTTTTAGAGTAGCCAGGGCAAACAAATGTTGCCGCTCTACCATCCTCAAGTTTTATATATGATTAACCTAAAATGTAGGCTAAAGTATAATAACCACGGCAGATTCACCCCCTAAATAAGGCCTTGAGAGCAGCACAATATTATTAGTTTGTCGAATTGTGTAAAGTGAGTTTCAAACGATTTCTATTTAAAAAGTTGGGCATATGTAAGTTGTTATTGTGACTAGGTTCACCCATTTCGGTCGGCATTACAAGTTCAATTTTCCGACACAACACAAATAATCGTTCCACACACGAAGTAATCTTTATGGAAATAATTGAAAATCTTCTGTATTATTTTAGTTGTATTATTGTCATCAATAAATTGCAAAGCATAATGTATTATTATTTAATGTACCTACATATTATTTAAATTTGGGTGAAAATAAATCAAAAATATAATTATTATGCTAATAGACATTTTTCCACTAAATTGTGTTAAGAGCTCAATAAATTAACAATATTACATTTTTAGAATACTAAAAACAATTCAAAAACCTGTATAACTATTATTTAAATTCTTCTTTATTGCGATATATTTTTAACTATGTACAGCGAAAAATCAAACGGTTTTGCTAAAAAAAAAAATAGCTTTAAAAAAATATGTTTGAAAATAAAGTTGTATCCAACCCGAAAAACATCTACGTCAAAAAATAATTTAGCATATCGGTTATGAGATAATATTATAGAATATATTTACATTTTACAGAACATATTATTATTGCCCACATTAAAACCAGTCGTCGTGAATATGATTATTTCCTTACCTACTGCTCACTTATTTCCACAGGACCATGGTCATGTTTCCCAAACACACGCCCGACGGGCTTAAAATAATGTATTACAATTTCAACGATAGCAATTCACATTTGTTCCGGCCGATCGAGATATACAAGAGAATGCGTTTGATGTTGGATATCTATCAGAAGAAAGGCATCGATTTTACTGGCATACACGTTTTGATCGACACGAGGCACATTACGTTGTCACACATAAGTCAGTTTGACTTGTTTCAGCTGAAGAATCTCATTAAACACGCACAGGTCAGTAAGCTCCACTTTAATAATATTGTGTCATTTTGTGCCGCCGTCCTCCAACCGGGCATGGCAGAAACCTATATACCTTCTATTGGGTGCCCAATAGAAATTCTGCCAAAACAAAAACACACACGTGTCCCCCCCCCTACGGTCCCAAAACCCTACAGTACCACACAATCTACAGCTAATGGCCTCAGTTGCCGAAGCTTAAATCAAAAAAAAAAAAAAATGTGTGGGGGGTATATAACCACAATTATATCTGCAAAATCAGAGTTAACACACTTAATGCACGAACAACTGTTTTTGACTAAATCACAAAAAGGGAGAATAAGCTACGACAAAAATAAATATTTTTGATTTATATAGATTTATTAATATAGTATAATCTATGAGTACACGACGATGTAAATATTATTATTTTTAGTCACTTATTTTTAAATTTTTTTAGGTGTTAACGTTAAGTAATATACATGATGATCGATATATTTTTAATTTGGTAAAAAGTCTCTGGTAGATTATTATGACTATTAAGAGCCAACCACCACACGGTGTCTCCTGGGTAACGCTAATAAATAGACTTTAATTTTAAGGTAAATAGTAAAATTAGATAAATGTTTAAAAACTTTTACCAACAACTGGTTTTTTAACATAAATATGTTTTTGGGCTGGATACACGAAACAACGTTTCCTACCAATTTTGAGTAAGGTTTTCGTTGACATGGCTACTTATTACCAAAATCATATTTATGATTAATAGATTTTCCTTGCAAAGGAAAAATATTAGGTAGAATGCTGAGCTCTTTTTTTTTTAAAAACATCATTATACCCGATAAAATTTGTATTTAATTTTGGCACCTGACAAAAAAGGCATACCCAAAGTCTAAACGTGTGTGAGTACCCTGCAATCATCAGATAAAAAAATCGTTATGTCCCGAAACGTGTCACGGTCAAATTGGTAGACGAGGAAAATTAATGCTTATTAGTTATTACAGTTTATACCCAATGTGTCATTTAATTTTCATAAACTGAGATGGAAATAAAAAAATATTATTAAGTAAATAAAATGAAATTTCCTACCTAAAACTGTATATTTGATCATGAAAATTATTGTAATCTTACAGAAAGCATATCCATTGCGTCTGAAGCACACTCATATTTTGTTCCCGCCAAGTTTTATTGACGTAGCCAAAAATATTTTAAAACCGTTTGTGTCGAAAAAAATGTTTGCCAGAGTAAGTGCTATGCTAATTTTGCACTTAAAATGAACGTAACGTGTGTACTCTAGTACCTACCATAGTACTGAGTACACATTACGTAATCAAAAACGTAATATTATTTTCATATTATTATAAAATGTTTTAGTTATCTTTCCACAAGAACCTCGATACTCTCTGGGAACACATACCAAGAGATGTACTTCCCGTCGAATACGGAGGATATTGTGGCAATTTGGACGTGATCAGAGGTAAAAATCACTATTTAATGAACTCACCAATAATCATTTCATACTCTTTATAATGTAACGACTATATTTTCTAATGGTATAAAAATAATGCAATGTATTGGATTCTAAATGTTATAGCTATACGAAGTGTGACAAAACTATATGACAAATGAAACAACTTATTTTCTAATAAACAATATTTTATTTCACCTGTGGTCGGTACTGGGAGTCCTTCTTTTCTCTTTTATTTTAATGTCATTAATTTATTTTATTTACCGTCATTAAATAAGTTTACTGTTCAGACTTTTAACAGGTAGCCTAGTAAAAAATGTCTAGAAAAAAATCAATATTTAAAAATTTTTTTTTTAAAATGTTGCAGCATTTTTTACTAACAAATTTAAAATAGCCAATTGATGAATTGATAAAAGTTTATTTAAGCCAAGCAGTTTATTTTTTTACAGTATTTTTAAATATCAATATTTTTATGGAGTTTTTAAGTTCATTCGACACGTTGTAACTTTTGTCGAAAAATTCTACGTTAAGTTGAAATTTTGTAACAAAAAAATCTTAAATTATTTATTATCCATATAGTTTTCCTAATTAGTTTCATACCTTTATCTAGTACACATTTTTCATTCATCATTTATCAGGTTCTATCAGGTATTTTACATCTTGTATATTTTTATAAGATATACGAATTGTTTGTAAACTGTAAACGTTTGCCATCGAGAGTTCCGGAACTCTGACATTATTTAACTTTGCCTAGTGTAACACAACAGAGTTCAAACATATTAATGAAATATTATGTTACAGAGGAATGGAAAACGCTGATATTGAAGAACAACGATTGGTTTTTGTCCAACGTAAGTTATAAATCAGACGAGTCGAAAAGGCTGAAAAAGAAAAAATCATTTTCATACGAAAAATTGTCTTTTAAGACTTTGATTTTGGACTAAAAATTTGTGATGGTAAATTATTATTTCAAAATTATGTTAATATAAGATAAATATTTTTAAGTTATACATTTTATCTCAACTTTTTTTACACTCAGGTACATAAAATGTGTATTTCTATAATATGTCTTAGACTTAAATTATGATAAGTATAAATTAAGTGTAGTGAGTATTTTATATTATTAATCAATTATTGTTATGTAATTTAAAAAATAAATAACCAAAAAGAGGATTTTTACATCATTCGTTTATTTTCAAGAAACCAAATGACATGAGTTGTAATGACAAAGCATTTATCTGAATAACTTAGTGAAATTCAACGTGGTAGTTGAATGTTTAAACAAATGCGGGTCATATTATACTTAGTCTCGGTATTAAACGAAATATCAAATAATAACAATATAAGTTATACAATATTTAAATATTAATATGATAACTGATGGCACCACGGTCAATGGCTGTATTGATTAATACATCTAATGATAATCAATAATAATATTTTATAACAAATAAAATATGAACTGTAAAACGATAATAATTATTGATAATATTATAATATTGTTTTATCGGCAACAACGGTTCGCGCCATTCATGAAAAATCAATTATAAAAAAAAACAAAAAGATAATATATAATAAAAACTTGATGATTAGTAAAACGAAGTATACTTTATACATTATTATAGGATTGTTATCGATTAACTGTTTGTATTCACTAAGTTATTTACTAAAAAACGTCATTGAGCTTTGTATTGTTGTGGTGTCTCATAAAATGGCTTGCAGTTTCTTTTTCGCGATTTTCGAGTAAACAACGTCGATGGGCTTTGTCTTGTCGTAGAGGGCCGGTGCTTGGAAAATGATCAGGGCCGTGCCGATGAGACAGGCGCACGTGAATATCCACAGGAACAGCCTGTCCAAGACCATGGCCACGTATTGCCAGTCTTCGATGATCTGCGGAAAACATAACGATAAGACACACTGGCAAATACCACCGCTGCACCGCAGGACGGGTTATAGAGGGAGCAAAATAACTATTTCCCACACAGAAATTATTGTACTATAATATATTGTCTATATATGGTCTTGGAAAAATCTGAATAGACGTGAAAGTAATTTTCCCAGTCACACCGCGCGGGTGCTTGGATTCGGACAAGAATCAGTTGAAAACCTATCGAACAAAAAAAAAGAAAAGAAAACCGTCCTTTTAAGACTTATTTGACTTTTACTGCGGATAACACGGAGGACGCGTCTGCACAGCATCACATCCTGCAGCCAAGTCACCCTCCCCTCCACCTCCGGGTTACACAACCACGTCGAACCGGGGTTTTCCGACCTTGGTCATCGATATTTTTGTTGAATTGCAGGTTTGCCGCGGACGCTGCCGCCCATGCACTCGGTGTAAAAAATTAAAGACTCCCGCCATCTCGCTGGGCCCCTGTGACCCGCAAGGGACCTGCGACACCCGCACCGACACTCACCTCGTCGAACTTGTCTTGGTTCTTGACGTGTTGAGCAATGAACTTTGCGTCCTGGATAGTCTGCATGGCCGGGTCGTGCCTGGGCTGCTGGTCCACCGGACACCCGTGCTGGTGCTGGTGATGGTGGTGATGGCTCTCGAACGTCGGGCTGGCCAGACCGTCGTCCGTCGTGGTCGTCGGGCTGAACATGTCGTCGTACTCGTCCTCGGCGTCGAGCTCGATCGCGTCCTCGTCCTCGTCCGACGCCATGTTCACCACCGTGTCGTTGGACCCGGTCACGGCGCCCGCACCGGCGCTCACACCCGCCCCGCCGTTCACGCCGCCCGCGCACACGGCCCTGGCGCCGCAGTACCTGGACGACGGGAGAGGAGGTGGCACGTCGTAATCGAAACTGTAACCGCGGTTGTAGCCCAAGTACTTGTCGATCTCGGACGGCACGTCGAACACGCCCGACAGGATTTCACCGTGCTTTTCGTCGTCGTCGTCGTCGTCCTCGTCGATCGAGTCTCCCTTCTTGGGCCGCTCGATGAACAGCACCTTGGGCAGGATCTGGATGAACAGCTTCACCACCCACGGTCTCATCTTGTGCGTTACCGGTGACCTGTGAAATCGAAACAGACCGTCAGTCGTATATTATGCCGGTACGCAATATTATAATACCGCCACATTTGTTCTTCTGACTTGATTCAAAGTCAACACAGAGAGGGCAATCAGCTCGATGATATAACAACTCAAAGTGTCCAAATAATATTTTTAAATTTAGGACACCTGCAAAGATGCAGTTGAATAATTTCAGACATTTTTTTCAGATTTTAAACCAGTTTTAAATACGTGTATCGATCACTCAAAATTAATTTTATAATATTTCTTTATAGTAATTCATAATTAGAGTTATATGATGTTGTCACAACAGTTGATATAATAATAATATTTAGAGATTAAAATCGAGTCAAAATATAAAAAACATAATGTCGTTTTAAAATTGTATACGATTAAATAATAAAATAGTCCTTGCTTCATTTAATGTTTATAAAAGAGTCAAAATTTGTTCATATTTATTATTTACTGTTGGTTAACCTTTAGTGAGGTGCCGAACAATATGGCTGAGCTCACCAAGGTAATTTTTTCTGTTCAACTGATAATAATATTTTTATTCCAATTGCATTAATCATCATACCAGTATTAATTCAATTGTTAAAGTATTACAATTATTTTTTTCTCTATATTTAAGTGTATTAATTGTCACTTACAAATTAATTAATTTCCAATTTGTATGTGTTACAACAACTTATATTTCGATATTTTAGTAATAGTTAGATAATTCTTAAAATAAACATTACTCGATCGAGAATGGAAAATGTATAGCATAATATTAAAAATAGACTAGAAATTGTCCCACGTATGTCACCAAAACTTACCAGAAAGTTGCAATTTTAAATTCTAGCCCTTTAAATCACTTTTAGTTTTCGATTAATGGTCAATATAAAACGTCTTTTATAGCCGATTTAAAAACATTCTTTTGACTAGACGATTTATCGTTGTGTATTATACAATTATAATATCAGAAATAATAATGTATAGCGTACTATAAACAACGTTGTGCGTCGTGGGGAGCCAAGACTGTCCAACCATAACAGTGTCTCAATCGTTTTACGTCTCGGCACGTAGAACGGAGTAACGTATAGGCAATTCAGGTGTATCAGACGCTCGAAACGACTTGCGCACGAGAGGTTTATTTTACTGCGTCTGAGCAGGTACAGAGCACCACTGTGCACAATAACGATATATTACGATCGAAGTGCGGGCGGCGCTTACCTGAAGTTGACGTTGAGTACGGCCACGGTGACGAACACGGACAACGTGACCAGGACCATGGTAAACAGTAGGTATTTGCCCAGCAACGGCACGGTGAGAGACGTGGGCGGTATGATCTCGACCAGCAGCAGGAAGAACACGGTGAGCGAGAGCAGTATCGATATGCACAGCGACACCTTCTCGCCGGACTCGGATGGCAGGTAGAACACCAGCACGGACAGGAACGATATACCCACGCACGGTATGATCAGGTTCACCGTGTAGAAAAGCGTCTTCCTCCGGAGAGTGATGTTGAAGAATATGTCCAGGTACGGTTCCTCGCAGCAGACGTAAAACTTTTCGTGCCTCACGGCCGGCACGCCCATGATGTCCCACTCCACCGACAGGTAGTAGTCCTGCAGGTCGATGCCCACTTCGATCACGTCCGAGTCGGGCGCCTGTGAAATGTGTCGCAAGTCCATCTGAGCGTTGGACGAAGACGAGACGGGACGGAGAGACGAAGAGAGAAAAAAAAATGAAAAAAAAAAAAAAAATTAAAAAAAAAGAAAAAAAAAAAAAAAAATTTAAAATAAAAAAAAAAAAAAAATTAAAAAAAAAAACCAAAAAATTAAGGAAAAATAAAAAAAAAAAATGTACGCGATAATTTTATATTATCTCAACAAATCCAGGGGATGAGAATAGAAATGTTCAGTGTTTATTTTTTTTCAAAATTGGTTGACTGCGTACATTCGTTTAATTTTCAATTGTGCTTTTTTTGATCTAGAAACGTTTTTCTACGTGCATTAATTATCGGTAAGATATCCAGAATGAAAAGGTTCTACGTCATGGATCATAGTTTTAGTTCGATTGAACATTTTTATTCTAATAAGTTCCTATGTAGATCATAATAATATAATACGTCATACATCTAGTAAGATCAGATGGTTTGAAGGATAAAAAGGTTCTGTATAAAGAACTTTTTTCATCTTATGCACATTTTTTTTTCTTTTTTATTAAGTTTGTGGATACCTAATACTTAATACTCACCAATTATGAGTAATGTCATAATGTAACTGACTATAATTGTATTTATAACTGCAATACGGATCAATATGTTAGGTAGTAATAATTATATTATATTTTATATTATTATATTCATAACACATGAAAAAAAGTTATTTACTATGAAACCTTAGAATTGGTCTCTGAGCAGTGTGGATATTGTGACAAAGAACCTTTTCATTCTCAGTCATCGGATTTGTAGAATACTCATTGTTACAATTATAATAACAACAACAATATATCATCAACTGCGTGGTGCCGCCGACGGATCACGTCCAATATCAATACAACAACGACAACCGTGGTGTTCAAATCAATCAACTCGAACTGTGTACATGGTGTGACTATTTTCCCGGTGACCGTCTCCCTCCCGGAAAATTACCTTTTCACCGCGACCGACAAAGAAAACATATTTCGGAGACGCACATCACGCCAACCGGCCGCGAGTGCGGTTTCTCACCATGTATCCGTCGTACGTCCACGATCCAAACTTCATGGAACAAGTCTGCTCGTCGAACGGAAAGTACTCGACGTTTATTTCACAAAAGGACTTGTAAATGGCTGGCGGTTTCCACACGACTTTTCCGGTATAGTGCAGTATTGCTTTCGTCATAATCGTCACCTCGTAATTGCCGTCGGCGCTGTAAATAATAATTGCATCGATGTAGTAACACGTTTTCGTCCATTGCACACAACATAGACGTGCCTGACGGTCATATAAATATACATGTTATGATCGACTATAACCGATTTTCGTTTAAATCGAAATGCATAGTGATTGCAGGTGATCAAACTAAAGTTTTAATTCGATCACAATAGTACCTCATATTAGGAGGCCTAAGTAATGTAATATATTTTGTTATCCAATATCAATTAACAATCAAACAAATTTCAGAAGTATACCTAATACAAATTATGTTTGTTTTCAAAATCGCCATATGTTATTAAACACGCTTAATAACTCTAATAAATATTTAATAACGTAATAGAACTATAACAATATTAAACTACGTATTTTTAAGGGAGTGTAACGAGACGAATATTGTGACAATTAATAAATAATCCTATAATACACTTATTAGTTATTACTCATTATCCACTTGTCCATCTGTACCTACTCTAATTTAGAATGTGCTTTATAATTATATACTCTAATTATTACAGTAATAAGTGATCAAAATTGTGTTTAAATATATTTAATAAATATTTTATGCATTACGAATAACATTGTCGACGTGTAGATACTCCAATCCTATGCGTATATTATAGTGACGAATAAATACGGTAACGGGTTGACAGTGAATAAGATATTTTCGAAAAATTAAAATCATTAATATATTATAATATACGAGCTATATGAATATTAATCACTTACCAGATACCACACCCTGTTTAATTAACAATATAAGGGTGGTATTTCACCGTGTATACCGTATGTCCTACGCTGCCCGTGTTTGATCTGACATTCTGATTTTACTGATAACTAGATTAGATACGATATAAAAATTGAATTAATGTACAGTTTTTGTTTTCATAAAAATATTATAATTTGTATGTTTTAATATTATTTCTGTAAACGTTGATCATGTAAACGAGAAAAAAATCACGGACACGGGAAACACGGTACACGGTATATTACTGGATAATAGAAGACTACCGCTTGTGGTACGATTAGCTATCAAAGTATCGGTGACCTATACCATAGTATAACATTCGGTTTAAGTTCTCTCAATGTGCAATCCTAACACATAACCCCCCTGAGTTCAGTTTGCGAGTCAGCTCTGATCCTTGCAATATCTTGATAATCAATAGCAGGACACAATATTAGTCGTACAGTTCTCTTACATATTTAAATTAGTTATTGCCCATTTCTTGGTTTTTATGATCATGTGGGAAAGTATATATATTTAGAGTAAGAACATTTTAAATGACCATAGTTTTCACTTTTTCGAAAATGTTCCTTTATACTTAAAACTTAAAAGTATAAAATTGTATAAATTTAATACCTATCGAATAATTAGAGTTTATTTTAAACATCTATAGTCATATAAGTTTTCATGTTATAAACATTTACACTTTATATTCATTAAATAAAGTAAAACATTTGTTTTAAAGATTGAGACGAATTTAAAGGGTAATTTAAATATTTTGCTATCACAGTATGTACTTAACCTGACCTGTCACATGGTTTACAAAATCAGGAAAAAAATTATTGTTTCACATCTTTTTTTCCATATTATTATGTTTGTCATAGTGTCATATTATGAGATGTATTTCGCGTGTTACTGTTAAAAATAATCAAGTTCAAATAAAATGAAATTGGTGTACATAGTAATATATTATATTAATTATGGTATTTTTTAATTTGCATGTCAAACCTACTTGTTGTACAAAACTATGTCCGGCAACCAAATGTGCTCGGATGGTACGTGTAGAGTATCTACCCCTCCGTAATCTTCGGGATTCCATTTTAGTTTGTAGTCATTCCATTCCTAAAAATACACAATAAAATGTTAACATAAAACATATTTTAATTCGATTTTTGTAGATTTCTCTTACTTGTTCGACCCATACGTTTGTCGTCATAATTTGATTTCTTAAATTCTAGAAAAGATAAAATTTATATTCGTTTATTTCAGAAAAAATATTGTAAAGTATTAATATTAATATTAATGTTGGAGTAGAGATAGAAGCTTGATAAATGTTTTGGTTAAAATTAAATTTAAGTGCATTTTAAGTTTTTTATCTTAGTTAAAATATGATTTTACAAGCGTCATAATTATAGATTAGGTGCCAACTAAATACTTATGAAATATTATGTTAGTCTTTACTCTTTAAGTCTAAAAGTTTAAGACTATAATTCAAACATTTTATCTTACAGACATGCTGCATTAATTACAATTGTCCATAAGAACAATAATGTGGTTACTTATTTACACTCTTTGAATTCCAGAATATATTTAATACTTATATTATATTGTATTTTATTAATCAAACATTTACACTAAATACCTAATACATATTTAATTATTATGTTATATTGTTATCACAAATGATGTAAACTATGAATTATAATCATCAATCAATTTCGGAGTGAACAATTTAAAGAACATAAAATGGTACACACAGGAAATAATGATTTAAAAAATTTACAAGTTTATTAAATTTAAGTGAGTAAATTTTAGAAGAAAATTTACCTTCTCTATTTTTCAGGTGTAATAGGTGTGGTTTGAATCTTAATAAATATACCCACTAAATTTTTATTTCAAATAACAATTTATATCAAAATACACACAACTTGTCACACGTTATATTATTTCGTACGTAGGGAAGCGAGAAATTGAAAGTCCACAATGATTAATTATTTAGTTCTTTGGGAAACAGACATCGTTATTAATTCCAGCTGTCTACCGAAATGCACATCAGTATAGGTCGCAAACGTCAAACCACATTCCCGAAATGATTAAACGCTGTCGTTGGGAAATATTGACAAGAGAAGGATAAAAGACATCGAATTCGTTGTGAACATTAGTAATATTGTTGTAAAAACGCCCAAATGACAATGTAAACCATAACATAATATTTTCTTTGAAATTATAATAATGGGTTTACGGCGTCATAAAATATAGAAATAAATAGATGGGTACCATAACAGTAATTATTATAATGGTACTTTTGTATCAGTCATTTATGCACACACACATGGTATTATGATAATCAACAATTATCAGGAAAATTACAAAATAATGTAGAACACAATATTTTTATTTTAAAAACATGAAATGGTATTATAAAATGTGTATATTTATAAATTATTGCTACAATATACCAAGGCGCCATAGTATCTTACAAATTAATGTAATTATCGAATTTCTGCACATTATACAGGTCCAGTGTGCGTACTATATAATATTATAGTTGTGGACGGTTTAACCTGTGCCAATATTATTTTATTTTCAAAATTCCTCTTCCTCCATTCCCGCCGAGCATAAGTTGCAATACTCCCACTTACGACTTACAAGGGGTGAGGGGGGGGACTATGCTATATTTGTGGCGATTTACCAAGAAAAATGACAGTCTTACTTTGTAATGTATTATTGCGAAAATATTACTTTATACTGTACTAGATACAAGCCGGATTACTTGAATGTAACATACACGTTTAAATACTTAAAAAGAAATTTATCGCTGACTGTAATATTATCCGATGTACTGAGCAAAAGAGCCTCAAATTAAATTGCGACATATTCGTTTGGAAAAACAATGTGAACAACATTGTGGACTGTGCCAAGAAAACTACGTTGTTTTCATCGGGACAGTGAAATATTCAAAAAACAGCCAAACATTGTTGTTCTCGTTTACCCTCAAAGCACACCTGTCCTTACAACTCATTATTACCTTCCTGAGCCAGTACATCAAAGTTTATTTTAATTTTTTCAACCAAAAAATATGTTAGTTACTTAAATTAATGTTATCCATTCGCAGCTAAAAGAATTTGGCAATCAGAAAGTAATAGAAATAAAGTGGGTGGTCACCACCTATTATTATACAAATTAGGTAAATAACAAACGTACGGCACCTCTTCTTAGTGGCACAGCACATGCATAGAATTATGTACAATACATGATTATTCAAAATTAATCATTCGATGCTTTGTGGCTGGTCGCCCGTTCTTAGGCATATGACCTACTTCTGTTGGGGATTTGAAGTTAAAGATACTGTGTATAGTACTGTATACGTACCACCATTATATCAACCATAATAATATATAGAGGAGCTAAAAATGTATAGTGGACTCAATTATTACAAGTTACAGAGGATAATATGCGTGGAATGATTTTGAGTTCGGACTAGATAGACATATTTAACATACATTAAATATAGGTACCTAAAGCGTAAATATCATTATTTGACTTGACACGTCATAGTATATCACTCTAAACCTAAAAACTAAAAATATGAAAGAATTTGATATCGAATGAATCGTTACGAATGCCAGTACTATTTAAGTTTTTGTAATATTTTTATGGAATTTTAGGTAAGAATGCGCCCTGAAAATCCACCGGAGACTGACACTTACTACTTCGATGATTTGCGACAGTTTCAGACCCATTTTGACCGTCAACCGGTCAGAGTTGTTGCCGACGGGTCTGATGAGTCTGTTGTAGTTGCTCAGCAGATCGTCGTAAAGCCGTTTGGCGTCGGCACTCCCGTACACGGACGCGTACGGCATAGCCAACTGCCCGACAATGACCGAGGCGAATATCGCGCAAATGATTTTCATGGCTGGAATAAAAACATTATCGAAGTTGAAATTCACGACTATTATTAAATTATTAATCATTATTATTATTATTATTATTGTTATTATTATTATTATTAGTATCATCATTAATATGTACGATTATGAGCACGGGATAAGATACCTATATTATATCTTATTCCATGATTATGGAAATCGTTTTGAGATACCTACGCTACCGACATCGATTATTGGTATCGAAACATGCATTTTAAATGTGTGAATACCTATTGAATTTTGCACGGTAGAGTTATGGCACGTCTTATTAGCACAACAATTGTTTGAAAACGCAACAATGCATCCAATACCCAGGATTCAATACCCAATTCAGGTATTTAAATTATGTGCAATTTCATGAATTTTTATAAAATATTTTATATGTTATTAACGCGATTATTGACTTTCACGCAACGGAGATTCGATTTATTCGGTTGCGCCACACGACAATGATCGTTGACACGAGATTTGTGGCCGGACATGGTCAGAATTTAATGTTGTTATTACGAAGAGGTACCGAACATATAAGATAGGTGATGGACGTAGAAATCATAAATTTATAATATCTGCCTTTTGAATGTATTAGTAAAAAAAGCACGCAATGCCGGGGTTGAGACTTATAATAAATAGCACACAGGTGTGTCAACCAAAATATGATAAATGGTCGAAACACGAGAATTGATGTGATCATATTTCATTTTCAGCGGTGAGCGTAGGCGTACATTTTGTGTTTTGGAAATAATCCATGTATGCATTGTGAAATATAGAAAGTATAATGTAGCTGTGTTAGTATATATTTTGGGATTATTTGTGTATGGTTATTAAAATAAAATAATATGTAATATTATTTGTAATAAAATGGTGTTTGCAAACATATTGATCGTGTATTACCTATTTTAATGTGTTTTGTAACATACAAATACTATTGTTACCCATTTGTGAGTCATATAAAAAAATGATTAACCAAACATGCGAATCATAATTTTTGACTTTGAAAACGAATTTATTCAAATTATGATTTTTGGAATTTTTATATTACACAAACAAAGATAATTTTTGACAACAAAATCGTGTATTTTTGTAATACTTATGAGTGTAGTACCTAATGTGGCGACAGAAAGTGTTTTTCAAACTAGAACTCCTTTCATTTACTGTAAATTATTCAGTGGATAATATTTTTGAAAACATTGTTTTTACCTAATTCGAAATTTGAACGAATATTTTTTCAGTTAATAAATTGTTTGTACTAAGGATTTATAGTAATTAAAAATGGTTTGAAAAAAATATAAATTATAAGAAATAGCGATTCTAGTTTTAAAAATAATAACTCGACAACTAAAATTCGTACTAATTTTGATTCTGATAAGTCAACATTATTTTTTCCAAAACTATTTTTAAAACTATTCATTTGAAATACAGAAGCTTATATCTTCATAGAACACTCCTTAGGTCAGCGTCTCAAACTGTATGTACCTATACCGAAGGGGTTCCACAAATTATTATCATTTATTTTTGTTAAGTTAGGTTATTTGTATTACGGGGTCCACAATCATTTTTACTTTATTCTAAGGAGTCCGTCGAAGGAAAAATGTTTGGAAAACGCTGCCTTAGAAAGTATAAAAATCTCTAGAATTTGAAAATATAAACATGAAGTATACTTAATAATTCCACAAATCAGATTTTGAATAATAAAATAGCATTATTGAAGATAAAAATGGGACGAGCGTGCTTGAAGATCACCCTGCCCTGTATATAATATTATGCTCATTATGGCTGCTATTTTTTTTGGATGATAGTGTACTACAGGCTCATGCCTTGGTGCAGTGTCAAATACATTATTTTGTTGATTTAAAGCCAGTTGCCTTGTATGTACTCGGTGTCAGGCTCTCAATAAAACTAAAATATATCCTAACCGAATAGTATCGATACTATTAGGACCGATTCGACCTCGACATGTCTAAAAGCCTTAAGAACAAAATAGATAAATTATTAATTTTTGAACACCAAATCATTGTTTTATCATAATTTAAAAAATTATATTTCAACTAAATATCTATGTAAGTATTGGTTTCCATTTATATAGTTTTTCTATTGTATAATTGTTTACTTTCTAATCCCATTCATCATTCAAAGAAATATGTATTTATATTTATAAAAATATTTTGTTTGATTATTTTACAATTTTGTATACAATAATTTGGATAAAGGTATAGTAGGTACACTGAACAAATATTTTAATTTTAAAATGCATAAAGTAAAGTAAAAGTAAGTCATCTGAGTGCGTTTTGTTTAATTTATTTCACCAAAGTTCAAGGCCAAATATGAGTAAAAAATAATTATAAATTAGTTAAATTTGGTAAGGATAAAAAAATAATAATTACTAAGGCTAATAAAAACTAAGCTATCTTAACAAAAACTTACACCCAATCTTGAAAAGACCCAATAAAGATTCATTAGTTTTTTTAAACATTTTTTAAATATCTTATCTAATTGTTCAACATGTATAACTATGAAGTAGTGACCAAAACGTTTTTTAAAATATAATTTATGTGAGTATAATAATTGTTATGGTAGGTTGTATTTGCGAACTATGTGTCACACATTGTTGTTTGCTGAAATAAAAATACGTTTAAAAGAATTTATGTACCTATTATGCATTTTCTTACTTATAATATACACCTATTCTAGTAATTTATTTGTTATTGTTTTTTATTTGTTTATTTGTTTATTGTTCTGTTAAGTATGTAAAGAATTTGTTTTTTGTTTAAATGTATGTTCTAAAAACTGTATGCGTACCATTTAACATATCAATTCAACACTAGAAATACTAATTTCTCTGATGTAAGTACCTATTTATTAAAGATAAAAGCACTAAATTATATTGAGAAGAACGTTGGTGACATTGTGTCTGAGTACCTACTCAACCAGTATCCGGGAGTTTGCTTGTATAACTACCAAGTAATTGACCCACCATAACATATTAATTATAGATACAAATTAAATCATGCGTTTATTTGTTCGTATATAGCTATGATGTTGATTAGAAAAACAAAATATAATCAATTACCTACTTGAATACTCTATAGTATCTATAGGTAGTATGATAATAGTGGTCAATTGTTGAACGCTGTTTAATAGGGTTAAAAAAATTGTGTTTCATCGATAATACATTATAAATACCGCGAGAAATTTGACTCTAATTAGCAGATTGGTCTTGATCACGGACTACGATATTAAGCGATTGTACACACAACGGGCTCGGAGTTCAATGGCATTATAATATTATTACCGCCGTCGACATGATCGTATGGGCACAAGAAATGCCCAATTATATAATGGAACCCGAAGAGAACGGTCGACACTGAATGGTCGTCGAAACGTGTTGGCGCGCCATTAATAAACAAACTATAATAATATTCTATAACGATGGACGCGGAGCCATAGCGTTAGGACGTTATAAAAATATACCGGTATACACATTATATGTGTATATACAATACGTCTGGATCACTTCGGCTTTCGTACTGTTTTTAATACCTACTCGAAAACTGCACCGTCGCAGCCTAGTGCGAAGGGAAGCCCCGTTTCAAAGGGTTGCACGCGTATCATAATGCACACACCATAATTATAGAGGTAGGTGTATTATATTGTATCGCGATAGTATAGTAACGCTCGAATGGAAACCTCGCGAGTGCCGAGTGCGATGTTTGTGTATATTATGTATGTAGTAGTGATAATAATAATACATGTTAAAAATACGAGAGAGAGAGAGAGAGAGAGAGAGAGTGTGACACAGAGATAGAGAGAAAAAAAAGAAAACAACTCCATATCATAATCGGCGCGCACACACTTCTGCACCCCTTCCGGTGCAGGCGGAAGTACAGAGCGGAAACCCGGGTGTGGCGGTCGGGGTAGTCGGTATAGGGGTTGATGGGACGCAGGCGGCGGTGGTGGTACGTCAAGAGGCAAATGGTCCATTGCACGGGGAGGAGAGAGACGCGGAACGCGTATTATATCGATCGACCTTGTTTTCAACGGCTTAACCGTTCGCGCTGCACGCGCGGCGTTCGGTTTCGGTTTCTGTTCTTCTTTTTGCGGGCGAGAAAAACCCGCCGGTACTCCCGAAAAAGACGATCGTCCGTCGCGACCGACGAACGACGAAATATCGTCGACTGGGAACGATTTTTTTTAGAAACGTGTTTTAGTCATTGCAGTTGTCTTACTTTTTTTCTCGAGACGGCAATTGGACCGGAAACCCGCGGCGTCTCTGCAGCCGTCGTCCTCCTCGTCCCGGACGCGATCTCGAAGCGCCTACGACAACGACGACAACCGCACACAAACCGTGCACATCGGCCCGTGAATCATGTTGCGTGTGTCACCGTTACGATATCCGTGTTCGGCTCGTACCCAGGGCGTCTGGGCACGAGTTGGCTGTTGGCGCGTGTGTGTTCGGGGCGTGAGTGTTGCACTGATCTCGGCTGGAGTAGAGCAGCAGTCCGTACGCGATTCATCTGGTGCCGGCGGCGGCGCGATCGGGGTGCGGGCGGGGTCGAACGTCCACGAACGGGACCGAAGCGCGGCGGCGGCGGCGTAAGTCGATAAAAACAGTGTACGCGAACGCCTTTGGCGCCGGGATTTCGTCCGTTAATGACCCATCGTATTGCGTAGAAACGGCGGCTCTGATAACGGAAACATCGAAACGATCGGATCGAATAATTTTATAATAGATAATATACCTGACCCGTATTATAATTGTATACGAAGCGAATCGCGTGTCGATGCAAATAATTACGAAATCCGAAACAATACTATGTCCCGAGGAAACGACCGGAAAACTAATTACGGGCCTTT